ACAGACAGTAATATGACAACGAGACACTGCATTATATATTTATAAAAACAATTTATTCACTTGTTACTTGAATACTCATGTAAACGGAAGTATTTTTCATTATATATATATATATATATATGTGTGTGTGTGTGTGTGTGTGTGTGTGTAATGTGTGTGTGTATACACACACACACACATGATTTATTTATGATTATACTAATATATATATGATATTATATATATTTAATATTATGATTACATTTAGATATATTATTTATTTATAGTATAGTATTAAATACATTTTGTAAATATAAGTATGCAAATTATTACTGTTTATTCATGTTGTCATAAAGTCATGAGAATTTATTTTTTCCTCAATGCGGTTATAAGAATTTAGTGTGGAAAAATACAGTTTATCCTTTCTATTTTTGATTTTGAAATGTGACCAGGAAAATACTGTATCGCCAGAAAGGTTTTTACCCACGAGACAGAAAGAGGAGAGACCCAACAAACAAAAATATTATGTATGAAACTTCATGTATTTTTAAAAGATTTGTATTTGTGCGAGGATTGAAAAGCATCTGAAATCAGGGAGGTCTGACTGACTACAATAACTACAGATGGATTTGTGCTAAATCATGGTCTAAAACCGCTGTAAGAAGTGAAATATTAACATTGTTAAGTTATAGTCGAATTCATTATATTCTAATTAGATTCTTAATTAGGGAATCATAATGTGAAATTGTACAGAAGATTACTCTTGTATACCGCACCTGTGGTCTACCTCGTATCGTTAATTAGCAGATAACGGGCGATCCGTGTGTTCGCGGTTATTCCTGACAGACAGCGGCGCGAACGCTCGCTCTATCCCAGCTAACTTTGACTCCCGCAATTAATTTTTTTTTGGACAGTTCGGGATCTTTGATTTATAAATCCATGATAACGAGCCACTGTAATTACATTTTTCTTTCACTTGGCTAATTGCTCTGGGAACAGTGGCGCTGCCAGAGCAGGCAGGGTTATATTTGGAGCGTTTCGCTTTTATTTCCTCAGAACGAATTGAGTTTCATGAGGGAAGCAGAATTCATAAATTAGTCACTCTTTCAAACAGCTGGACTCTTTTTAAAGCGCTGTAGCCTTCAGTTCAACAGAGGTAAGACCTTAATAACCTTAATCTGACAGACCTCTGGCGCTCGTACAAATGATCTGCCTTTATGAATCTTTAATTTGAAGTACTTTTTAGCTGGACAGAAAAACTACCCAGTGATTTCAACACATTATGAATGGCATTTAATGACTGCTAATATACACATGCCATTTCTTTCCCAGTTGTTTAAGTTCACAGACATAACCGACTGTGTTTATGTGTTTTTGACGTAACCTTGTGTATTTGACAGTTTAAGTGTAATAAGACACAAAAGAGAACGTAGTTTAATTCTCACACAACGCGCCATCTCACAGTCAGATCTCGGTGCGCACGCAGAACACCATATATCAGTTTATAGTGATATGGCTTTAAAACGCATGCAAATAATAAACTTTCATGATGTCGAAGAACTGCAATGTCACGTGAGCATGACTGCGAGACATGATAATCAGGACCAAACAGATATTTTGTTTTGGCAGAGTATGTGAGGCACGAGCTCCGCCCTCTTCTGGAAAAGGGGCGGGTAGCAGCAGCTCATTTGCATTTAAAGATACATGTACATGTTTTTGCTACTGTTAAAAAATTGTCATTTTCAGCGTGGAATACTAAAGGGGTCATGAACTGAGAAAACAAAATTCCCTATATCTTTTGACATATAAGAGGTCATTGTACAATAAAAACATCCTGCAAGTTTCAGAACGCAAAACTTTGTTGTTAGTCCAGTGGTTCTCAAACTTTTTTGGTTGCGCCCCCCCTTTAAACCTATAAAAAAATCTGGCGGCCACTTTCTTTTTCTGCCGATGACCCGCGCCCCCCCTGTAATACTCGTGCGCACCCCACACTTTGAGAACCACTGCGTTAGTCTAAAAACAGCTTTTATTGAAGGCAGTCTGCCAAAACGACAGCTTGTGGAATATACAAAATCTATGATGTAATAGTGTGGATAAGCACCGCCTTCGCAGAAGATCAATGGCTGCTTGTACTGCACTGCCTGTTTAGCCCCGCCCACTGATTCTACATCACTGCCTGTTTAGCCCCGCCCACTGATTCTACAGCACTGCCTGTTTAGCCACGCCCACTGATTCTAAACCACTGCATGTTTAGCCACGCCCACCTATTATACAGCACTGCCTGTTTAGCCACACCCACCTATTATACAGCACTGCCTGTTTAGCCCCACCAACCGATTCTACAGCACTGCCTGTTTAGCCCCACCCACCGATTCTACAGCACTGTTACAGCATATAGTGTTTACGAGAGAGGCGAACACACAGGTTTACGCAGAAACCAAGCGATAAAGATGCTCTTTGCATTGCCTTCATTCTGAATCCAATGTTAGGAAAGAGTGGATGGCCTTTATTTTTAATGAAGATCCAGACTGCTTCAGTTAGAACTTGGTCCTTTGTTCACTTTATTTTACCGAACCGATTGAAACTAAAAGGCGATGCTGTGCAACTATATTGGATCCGACAGTAATGTAGCAATACAAGTGTGAGTAACTGTTTTTATTACGTGATCACAAATAAAATAGCCTATTACTTCTAAATTATGATGTTTTTTGATGTAAAAATCTTGATAACATTATAAGTGGACCACAGAGAGCAAATAAAACAAAGGCAGTTCATGTAACCCTTTAAATGATCTGTGGGGTATTTTGAGCTGAAACTTCACAGACATATTCTAGGGACACCTGAGGCTTCTTGTAAAAGGGGCAATAATAGGTCCCTTAAAAAACATTCTGAGAATAGTGCAACCTAAACATCAGGAACAAACTAAAACCTTCCAAACTCTGGTATTCATAATCATAAACATTGCACATGATTAAAAAGCAAGTTCAGGCAAAACAGCTCTGCTAGCCATCAGTAAAGGGTTATTTCAGCAAAAATCCAAATCCTGTCATCATTTATTCACCTTCAGGTCATTCTTCTAAACATGTCACTTTCTTTTTTTTTCATGGAACTAAAAAGAAGTTATGCAATATGTTCATGCTGCTCTATTCCAAAAAAAAGTGATGCAATGCAATGCAAAAAATAAAAGCATCATATGTGACTTTTTTTTTTTACCTAAATGTACAGTGTGTTCCTCACACAAAGCTGTCACATGACTTGAAATATATGCATGGGAATATATACTGTACATGTGCATGAGTGACATCGACTACTTTTATGATACTTTTAAGCTGCTGTTTGTCATTTTTAGAGCTTATTCATCATTCACTTACAATGCATGCGAGAATAATCATTCTTGTAAAGTTTTCTTTTTGTGTTCCACATAAAATAGAAAGTTATAGAGGTTTGAAACAACGCACTCAAATAATTATTTAGGCCTGAATTTAAGATTTATGTATTTGAATTGCATATAAAAATCCATTTGAATTAAACAGATTTAACAAACTAAAAACGTAATGTGATACATATTTCTCAGTCATACTTCAATGAAACCGGTCAGATTTCTGACGTTGTACTAATTAAGTGAATGTGTTTAGTAAACAATAACCAGCTTTATATATTTATTATCAATAAATCCATTTTTTTTTTCATTCTCATATTTTAATTGAACATAATTTTTTCCACAACTAGCCATTTTTGAAACATGTTCATAATTTTAAACGGAGAAATATGCATTAGCCTACATTAAAATAAATTTCCTTACGGCAAAAAAATAAAAATAAAAATCTGGCCAAACTATATTTTAAATATATGTCAACTATATATTGTAAAGAGTGAAGCTCAATAAATTATATTTTTGAAATTGAAAATATATTTAGATTCAACCTTCATATACCAATATATATCGCAAAAGGTATGTCAAGAGCAAGAATACATTTACATTTTTACATTTCCAATTTTTCTTAAAATGTGACATATGTGAATGTATTTTCATTGGACTGAAATATATGGAGGGCAAAATATACTTTTAAATGTTTTGAAAAATATATATATATACAGAAAATATCTAAATATACTTTGTAAATATATATATTTTTTTTTGAAAATATATTTAATATATATAATATACTGTATATATTAAATATATTTTCAAAAAAAGAAAAAATATATTTACAAAGTATATTTAGATATTTTCTGTATACACACACACACACACACACACACACACACACATGCAAACACATTTATATGCAATTCAAATACATAAATCTTAAATTTAGACCTAAATATTTATGTGAGTGCATTAAGGTGAATAAATAATGACCGATTGTTCAATTTTGGCGGAACGACCCCTTAAACATTGAGTGTTAGCAGCCTCAGTTATTGAAGATAATCGTCCTTGTGAGGTTTCATGCCAGGAAACTCGAGCAGGTGCAGCATGCTCTTGAGGGGGCGGGACAGGAAGTACGAGAGACAGGAAGTGAGGCGTTTCAATGGGTGCTCGTGCTGCTCAAACGTGTCCAGTTAAACCGCTCAACCGGGATGAATTAGGACCGTACACTACAGCCAGAATTCACAACCAGAGAGCAGCGTCATCATTTGCTGTCATTTAATGTTGCTCCAAACAGAAAGCCAGAAAGTACATGAGCTTACAGGTTTGGAACGACATGAGCATGAGTAAATGATGACAGAATTCTGGCTGTAGAGCAGCGGTGTATAGAGATGTTAAAGGAAACCTGTCCACACACCTTGCAGAAGACCACAGTCCCTTCCTCCTGGTGCAAGAGCCCAGAGGAGACGGGAACGACAAGAAACAAGGACATTGTCATAGTTGGAGAGAACAGAGAGAAGAATCACAACACGCATGCACAATTCACACGGGACGTTAAGTTGCGTTCACATCATGCAGATTTACCGTAATTATGAGGCGACTCTGAGATTCTGCTCTAATCTCACTGAATTATTTGGAATCATTTGTTTCTATGGCAACACTGGATGTCAAATGGATCCATGCATGTGTGGCTAATCTTGAATAGGTTTGGGGACTGGAGAATCATTTCCATTTTTTAATTAATGAAATTATTTTCACGGTTCTCTTAAAGGAGTAGTTCACCCCAAAAATGAACATTTGCTGGAAATGTGCTCACCGTCAGGCCATCCAAGATGTAGATGAGTTTGTTTCTTCATCAGAAATGTAGCATTGCATCAGTGTCTTAGCAACGGATGCTCTGCAGTGAATGGGTGCCGTCAGAATGAGAGTCCAACATCACAATAATCCACAAGTATTCCACACCATCCTGATTCAGAGACAACAGGAGATGCCACTGGAGGACGCGTTATTATGGATTATGGATTCATATTTTAGCCAAAAGCAATGGTTTGATGTTAAAAACATCTTAATGCTGGATTTGCTTCAGCTTTTGTCTTCTCCAGATGTTAACTGATGGACTGGAGTGGTGTGGATTACTTGTGGATTATTGTGATGTTTTTATCAGCTGTTTGGACTCTCATTCTGACGGCACCCATTCACTGCAGAGCATCCATTGCTGAGACACTGATGCAGTGCTACATTTCTCCAAATCTGATGAAGAAACAAACTCATCCTAATCTTGGATGTCCTGAGGGTGAGTATATGTACACCAAATGATCATTTTTGGGTGAACTATTCCTTAAAATCTTCATGAACAGTTCTTTACTGCCAATGCTAAACAAACACTGTGCTAAAATACAAAAGTGTTTGCAGCAGTAATGAGATTAGAAAGAAAGACTGGATGAGGCAAAACAATACTAATAATATAAATAGACAGCATGTCTTTTTATTGCACTGTCTGCTCTGGATGGAAACAACAAAAACATTTCAACATAATGGATTTGCTGTATTTAATAAAAGTAAAAGATTAAAAATCTGTCTCAACTCATATTGGTTTCAATAATTCTAACAATTCACACTGAATTACTGAATCATTCAGAGAAGTAATCATTATAAATCATTACTTTTGTCAAACTACTCAAATACTTATTAAAATTATAATTATTGATTGTTACTGTATTTTATGAGAAGTGTGTAATTTCTGACTGGCTGTTTAGAGAACATATAGATTAGGATACATATTCACATTTTTGTCCAAATAAATTGATTTTTTTTTTTTTATAAAATGAAATAATAAAATAAAGTGTTACAGCAGTATTGCTTTTATTTTATGATCATTACAAATCATTACTTCTGTCATGTAAAACTCAAATAAAATATTAACCCAAATTACTGAAATGATAATTATTTATTGTTACTGTATTTTTTGACAATTAATGTAATTTGTAATTTCCAACTGGCGGTTCAGTGAACATCTAAAGATACACATTAAATAAATGAGAAATAAAATATAAAAAATAAAATAGTTACCAAAAACTATAATGTTTTTTTTTGTTTATTTAAAATAAAATAATAAATAAAATAAAATAAATGTTAGCAAAAACAGTACTGTTTTTGTTTAGTGTATTTGTTAAGTATATAATTAGGCCTAATTAATCTTTAAGTACTGAAAGAGTCATTAGCTATGTTTCCATCCAAAGATGCAAATTTAACTTATGCACAAAACTGGAATATCGCATAAAACATTTGCGAGTATAGCGCCGTTTCCATCCAACGAGTCAAAGAGAACAAAATCGTCACTTCCTGATAAATTGGCACTAAATATCTCTCAGAAAACTAGGAGAAGCCACTGAATATAATAATTTTCATATGTAATAAATTACTTGCGCTTCAGAGAGAGCAGACGTAACACAATAAATGCAGGTATTGCTTTTAGAGGTGGATACTGCGGTTTGGGAACGCAGTCGTGTCAGACAGTAATTATACAGAAATACTTTGATGACAGACTTTCCTCAGGCATTTCAGAACAACCAAAACAACATACAGCAAGTAAAGTGTAACCCATTTTTTCTTATCGGATAAAAAGTTTATCCTACTCAGTTGTGCGCATAAAAATACTTATTTTTAGAATTTATGCGCATCTTGGCGTTTCCATCCAGCGTTTTTTTATGCGATAATCCAAAATGCGCATAAAAATAGGTGGATGCAAACATAGCTATTGATGAAATCATAAAGCAATTAGACTGATATAAAGGACTAAACTGAATTAGAATCGGAACCAGAATCTTGACATTCTAATCTTGAAGAAACACAGAAAAAGCGCTCCAGGTAACTCTTGACTAACCAGTGACATATAAATCATCAGGATGTGTTGATGTAGGAAACTAACCAGCTGTAGCTGCCGAAGCCTGATGTCAAGAGGAAGAAGCTGGAACTTCTTGGACCTTCTAGTTGCAACTAATCAGACTCATAATTACGGTAATTCAGACATTCATGAACGCAGCTTTACAGTAAGGGACGTTCAACAGCTTCACTCACACAGACAGTTAGTGGGAAACATTGCTGTGGAGTCTTCAGAGACATTGATTAGATTACTAACCTGTTTTCCTCCCATGGACTCGAACATCTTCTCCAGCTGAACTCGGAGCTGCTGGATGTTGTTCAAGAGGATGCAGGACTGTCAGGAGAAGAAAGATAGACAAGATATTTCATGACTGATCGATTGTACTGCTTTCCAGATACATTGAGTTTTCAAAACCCTCCGCCTGGCTAATGCAAGGAGACGTTTGTACTAGAAGACTTCTGTGAATATATACACAGGGCATCGATTCGTCTGGATGCTGATCGTTGATTTTGCACATCTTACTTTCATCAGTGGCAGGAAATCTGAATTTCATTACACAGAAATCTATGCCTCCGCATCTTCAGAGAAATGGCAGATTTACACAACGGAACACACTTGAGTTGTATTTAAACACTCATTTCCTTTTGAAAATACATGAAATTAATGCACAGCAACTGTTTTCTTATTAAAGCACAATGTTTCCTTGTATCTAATAATATTTAAAGTCAGCTGTATTTTGTTACACTGTAATAGTTATTATATTAGTTGATAGTCATAATCATAATAGTTATTAATGCATCTGACAGGTTGTCCTAATGCACAATTTAATACATTTGAATTCTAATGCATTGCATGTTTTCATTATAGATCAATATAATATTCATAAATTCTCAATATATAACAAAAGATAGATAGATAGATAGATAGATAGAATAAACAAAAATTTAAATAACAACATTTACTATTGTTATAGTATTATTGTTGTTCTTGTTATAAAATTATGCATTATTTATTTTTATGATTTTGGCAGATAAACAAATTAATAGAATGCATTAGAAAAATAAAATAATAAAAATATAATATAAATAATACAATATGATTATACTTATTATTATTATTATTGTTTATTTATTTGTTATTATTTTGGGGGAAACAAATTAAAAAAATTTAAATAATGCATTAGACTGCATTAGAAAAAAATAGAAAAATATAATATAAATAATAATTATTATTATTATTAAAATAGACAAAATTTTATTATTATTATTTATTTATTTATTTATTTATTTTGGGGAAAAACAAAAGAAAAGAATGCAATAGAACGTACAGTATGAATATCTTTAAAACCACCTCCCAAATACATTAAAAGCATGATATTTTATGTGTAGAATGACATCTGTAATTGAAAAAGGTTATAAAAACATCAAACTCAATAATCGGACTGATGGTAAACTAAGGTTTAAGATGACCTTCAGACTCAGTGTGACAGAAAAGCGACTGACCCCGGGTTCCTGAGACGCAATGCACTTTGGGTAAATAGTGTCTGTTCCAGTAAATGTTAAAGAAGCAGATTTGTGTTGACACACAGATGAACTAGAGATCCGGCAGTCATAACGCTCTTGTATAAGCGTCCCATGAGTTAATTGGATGGGTAGGAGTGCGTAATTAGCGCAGGAGTCCATAAGCTAATTAAAACTGGCTCTTACTGACTGCACAGACACACTTCCTAAAGGTCACATGTCAGCTGTGTGACAAATAGCTCTGAAACCAAAATACGAAGCCGTCGCACTAACTGAAACGAGGGAACATCGTCTCTGTGACGAGAGCGGCTGATTTCACACACTCGTAAATTTAATTCAAGACAATGTATATAAACTCCGGTGAGCTGATTTATGGGCATCGGTGCGTTTAAAGATGTAGATATTCTTAGGATGAGCCGAGCTGTCAATTAAGCGACGGATGAGCCCCGAGGAGCGGCTCTGTCCTCCGAGACCAAACAGAGATATGTCTTTAATTACCGGCCGCATCATTGTCTCTCTGTGGTCCTTTCACGGCACTTAAAAGATACAGCTGTCTTTCTTCCCGCCGCAGACGTCCTGCGTGTCAAGCTTTTATAATCATTACAGGAAGACACTGTGAAAATTCGAGGTAGAAGAAAAGCAGCTCTGAGTTAGCGCCGCGAATCATGTCATTTTGCACAAAGAGCATAAAGTTGAAAGCACAGAGGAAGGAGACGAGGACGCAAGAAGGTCTCGCAAGTTATTTGTTAGAAACGAAGGAAGCATCTGCAAGCCGTCCAATCAAATCCTTTATGATCTGATCAAGCCACACTCGCAGAGTCATGACTTTAAAACACGAAGACATTTTATGACAAAGCAGATTTGTGTGTGTGTGTGTGTGTGTGTGTGTGTGTGTGTGAGTGTGTAGGAAGTTCACAGACTCACCACTTTCTCTTTGTTCAGATGGTTGTTGAAGTCTTTAGAGATGATCACAGCATACTGGAGAAGAACTTTATTTATGGTCTGGAAAGAGAATAAAATGTGGATTATTATTCAATTCAATTCAGGTCAAGTTGATTTGTATAGCGCTTTTCACGATGCAAATCGTTGCAAAGCAGCTTTACCGAAAATTTGAGTTTCTACATTATATTTAGTTGTAGCTTATCAGTGGTGACTATCTCAAGTTGATGTCCATATGGCAGAAATGCACAGTAAAAATTAAGCAGTTAGTTAATGACGTAATCAAACAGACGGTGAACACTATTAACAGCAATGATTATATGTTGCGATCAAATTTATAGCATTATTATATTATAACTTATAGCTTATTACATACTGTTAAAAAATGTATAGCCTGAATGCACTGTAAGTCGCTTTGGATAAAAGCGTCTCCTAAATGCATAAATTATTAAATTAAATTATTATTATTATCATATATTATAAAACACAGTAGTTTAATTTTATAGAAGCCATAAGTTGGGTTTGTGTTACAGTCATTATTTATAGACCTGAAACACATATGCATTCACTACCAGTCAAAAGTTTGGGGTCACTAAGCATTTATCTGATCGAAAATACAGTAAAAAAATGTTAAATATTATTATAATTTAAAATAAGTGTTTTATATATGTGTATATGTTCAAATGTAATTTATTCCTTTGATTCAAAGCTGAATTTTCAGCATCATTACTCCAGTCTTCAGTGTCACATGATCCTTCAAAAATCATTCTAATATTATGATTTGCTGCTTAAGAAACATTTCTGATTATTTCAATGTTGAAAAAAGATTTATTATATTTTAAATTTAATAATTGTATCATATCAATGTTTTAATACTTAATGTTTTTTGTGTAAAAAGTAATTTTTTTCAGGATTCTTTGATGAATAGAAAGTTCAAAAGAACAGCATTTATTTGAAATGGGAATCTTTTGTAACATTGTAAATGTCTTTACTGTCACTTTTGATCAATTTAATGCTTCCTTGCTGGATAAAAATATACATTTTCTAAAAAAAAGAGACTTTTTAATACTAACACAATTGTAGCCCATGTGACGACGTGTGTGCTTGCATCCATCAAAACAGTTTGGGAACTTTGAGATTAGTAACCTGGAGCCAAGGAAATAGAATAAAGCTCTTAACATATTCATAAATATGTAAATAAGTAAATGAGGGCAGTAATGATATGCGTCTTGTAAGGCCGCCGTAATAGATTTCTCGTGTCAAGTTTGCATGAAGTAATCAATGCCTCATACAAGACCCTTTACCCATAATCCTGTGGGATGAGCGCCTCTCTCTCTCTCTCTCTCTCTCTGCCCTTTGCAGTTCATTTGCATTCACAATAGCTGGCATTATACACTAGCTGGCCTAAAATCTCTTATAAAATCTGCTATGTGTTTGAGCGGGTGAGCATGATCACTGTTTTCATAAGCTGTTTGAGTTGATGTGTTCATTTGTGGTGTTTTCAAAGTTAACCATTACTATTGCTAAAAGGTTTAGCGACGTGATCAAATCTCTAACGTCTTGGCTAAAAACGTGTTAATATATAAGTGTTATAATATATATAAGTATAATAATTAAAGGAATAGCTGAATGGGTGCCATCAGAATGAGAGTCCAAACAGCTGATAAAAACATCACAATAATCCACAAGTAATCCACAGCACTCCAGTCCATCAGTTAACATCTGGAGAAGACAAAAACTGAATGTGATGTTTTTATCAGCTGTTTGGACTCTCATTCTGACGGCACCCATCCACTGCAGAGCATCCATTGCTGAGACACTGATGCAATGACACATTATTATTTTTCCTAATTGTTTCAGTTTTTGCACTGATCAAGTTGACTATACTGTATGGAAACAGTCACCAATAAAGCACTCTGTGTCTAAGCTGAACTGAGGAGGTCTGTATATCTGATCAAACGTTCGGCTCTGGCATCAATGATTTACCATCAATCTTGGTGTCTCAAATGTTCCTGTTAGCCTTCTACATGCAGCCGCTCAAACAAAACGCTCTCATACACACACAGTGTGATGTTTAGTAAATCAAGGAGGTTTATCCACTCAGTGTAAACTGCTCTAAACCTTCATTAAATCCATCCTTAGCCTTTTATCCGAACCCTGTCACTGCCTGCTAGAGCTCATGAGCTTTTCACTGCTGTAAATCACTGTAAAGAGTAGGAAAATACTTGCACCTGATGATTTAAATTCATTCCTGGAAGTTGAAGCATGTAATGCTTGATATTAAAATACTACTAATATTCAAAGACACCTATCCATCTTATTCCTAAACGCGGAAGTAAGCCTATGGGCGAGACTTCCGGTTCATTAGCCTCTAGGGAAATAATGAGAAGAATAACAACGTGCATTACAAACCAGTGTGTTCATAATTCAGATAATACACTAAAATAATATGGTAAGACACACCAATTTGCAGTATCAAGCAGCAAAAAGAAATTAATACTTTTATTCAGAAAGGATGAAAAGTGAATTAAAAAGTGACAGTAAAAACATTTATAATGTTCTAAAAGTTTCTGTGAATCCTGAAAAATAAAATGCATCACGGTTTTTTAAAAAAATGAAGCAGCAGCAAATCAGCATATTAGAATGATTTCTGAAGATCATGTGAAAATTCAGCTGCGCATCACAGAAATAAATTATATTTGAACAGATATTCACATAGAGAACAGCTATTTTAAATTGTAAAAATATTTCACAATTTTACTGTATTTTTGATCAAATAAATGCAACTAGACATCTTTTAAAAACATTTTTAAAAAATCATACCAACCCCAAACTTTTTTTTTAGCAACACTACAGTGCTTTCAGGCAATGCAGGTCTGGATTTTTCTGTTTCAAAGCTCTTCTCCATCATTTGTTCATCATTTTATGCTCTCAGCTGCCTGGCAACCGTATGACACCCTACAGTTAGAGTAATACTGCCTGGCGGAACAACCGTTTATTGTGATTATTATTGTTAACACATGCAATTCTTTATTGAACACTGGTATCTTTCATCATACCGCCACAGACTGTGAGTTGCATGGATTTTACATCTTTAGGGGTTAGATTTTATAGATTTATTTAAGTGCATGGCAAAATCTCCAATGCACAGCCTCAAGTGACATCCTTTCTCTTTGGATTCTCTTACCTTTGCAAACCTGCGCATGAAGTGAGCGAGAGCTTGAGGGTTTGGACACTCCAGCTTCTTAATGATCTCAAAGCTTTGGTTGAGCTGCGTGAACACATCCACCACCGAGCAGGAGAAGAGAGCATGTTCTGATGTCTGCTGGAACTGCAATCAAAACACCACAACAGAAGCATTAATGATCATATCACAACAATTTTATCATTTTATGTTTCCCATAATTTCAGCATGTGCTACATAACGGGAAACAAGGTTCAAGATGAGTTTTACAGCCTGACTCCAGCTTGCTATTAAGTTCTAGCATGGTTCTTCAAAGTGCTAGTGTTTCAAGGATCCAAGAGTGGCTTTATTTTTTCTTTTGTTTATAGAATATGACACTCAAAAATGAACTTTAATGAACTTTTATTCACCCTAAGGTCACTCCAAAAATAGACTTTTTTGATGCTCTTTTCCATACAATATTTGCATACAATGTTCAAAAATTTGAGGTCATTAATAAGATTTTATTTTTATTTTAATAAAGTGACAGTAAAGACATAATGTTACAAAAGATTTTTATTTCAAATAAAAATCTTCAAACCAAAATTTATTTTGCTATTATTTTATAATCAGTGGCTGACCATAAATTAATACACTTGCCAATAAATAAATAAATGAGACAAATATAAAATGTACATAATATTACATATTTAATATCTTATTACATAATATTTTATACCATTCTAAATATTGTGGACAATAAGATTTTTATTTATTTTTAAATTTTTATTTTTATTTATTTATTTATATTTTTATCATTTTAAATCTATTTATTTACTGTACTTTTTAACATTTTTTATTTTATTTTTTTTGAAAGAGAGAAATTAATACTTTTATTCAGAATAGGTACAGACAGTAAGGACATCTATGATGTAATGCTGTTCTTTTAAACTTTCTGAATAATGTATCACAGTTTCCACAAAAATATTCAGCAGCACAATTGTTTTCAACATTGATAATAATCAGAAATGTTTCTTGAGCAGCAAATCAGCATATTAGAATGATTTCTGAAGATCATGTGACACTGAAGACTGGAGTAATGATGCTGAAAATACAGCTGCGCATCACAGGAATAAATGACATTTTAAAGCAGTTATTTTAAACTGTATTAATACTTCACATGATATTATTTCTTGATAAGAAGCCCTGAAGCTCAGACGCTGCCAGGAAGCACTGAAGATGTTTTTAAGCAGCCAGAGCTGGTCTGATTCACAGCCGTTGGGAATGCCTGCCAACATAACCTATATGACACAATTAACCTACGCTTCTGCCCTTATTCCACAAACACAAGCCTAATAATCATTAGACAATTAACTGAGAGTGCTGCTCCATTAGCATCTTAATGTAGAGTTGAATCTCTCAAGACTTGAACCAGAGCGCAGCTAAACATCTAAACACAGTTAGCATCTCTCTCCGCAGCGCTGTGAACGGCAGGGAGAAAAACACAGTTTTGGTTGCTCTGAAATACCAATCTGCTGACTGAAATGCTCATGTGCCATTATATTTGTCAGTGTCACATATCACATACACTACCGGTCAAAAGTTTGAGATGAGAACGATTTTTAATGTATTTAAAGAAGTCTCTTCTGCTCATCAAGGCTGCATTTAAATTCATTTTAAACTTCTTAAATCAATTGTTTTAATCATTTTCAATGTTTTTAAATTCCTTGTTTTATTGTTGTGATTATTTTTTTTTCTTTTCTTTTATGTAAAGCACTTTGAATTACCATTGTGTATGAAATGTGCTATACAAATAAACTTGCCTTGCCTTGCCTTGATCCCAAACTTTTGACCGATAGTGTATAATAACGTGGCCGTTCATCACAGCATTGGCCGATATTAAGAGCACTAAATGATTTGTGTTTTTCAGGTGAAAGCAATTATCATATGAAACCAATCTCGCCGGTGATTTGTTTTCTCCAGCGAGGGGAGCATTGAGCAGCTCATATTCACATCAGAAGCGTTTGTTCGTTATTCCACAAACACTCATCAGCCTAATGCTTTCAGTTTAGCAGTTTATCCACACGTCTGATTCCATTCATCGTGTCGCACATGCACTTGTCTATGAATTCACAGTGCAAATGTCATTAAAGAGAAAAATATCTCTAATATTCATGCTCGTATCCGAAGAGAGAGAGCTTATCGAAACTGAAATCGTTATAAAGCTGTTCAACTGCTGCCTTGAACTGAAGAATTAACGCATTTATAACGCATAATATTGCTTTACTAGTGATTTTGACTTTAGTTCGGATTTGCAATTAACCCTTTGTTCTAGTCAAAAGTGACCAACCTTTTGAAAAATGCTGTACCAAATCTTGTGTTCGACTTGCTTTCCTTCAATTAGCACAGGTTTTGTGTTTCTTTTTGAAACTGATTGATCATAAGCCTCACTGATCTAAACTTATGCATCTCAGTTTTGGAGTGAAAAAGCATTATTTGTAGATAATTTTGCCAATATGCACTCAGAAATGGCATGGTTCTTCAGTAGTGATTCAAGGACCCCAGAAAAGCTTCATTTTGTCCTTTGTTTATAGAATAAAACTGAAAATGTCTTTAATTCACCAAAACAATAGATGTTTTATGACCTTTTTTTTAATGCTCTTTTTCATATGATAAACAGTACGTTTTGGGTCAGTGAGATTTTATTAATTATTTAATTTAATTTAATTTAATTTAATTTAATTTAATTTAATTTAATTTAATTTAATTTCATTTAATTTCATTCATTTAATTTCATTTCATTTCATTTCATTTCATTTCATTATTTCATTTCATTTGTAACACTTAAGGTTCTATCTGCTAACATTAGTTAACTACATAACATTAACATGAACTAACAATATAATTAAATTAATCTAATTTCATTTAAATTAATCTAATTTAATTTATTTTAATTTGTAACTTAAGGTTCTTTCTGCTAACATCAGGTAACTATATAACATTAACATGAATAAACAAAGAAAAATACTTCTTAAGCATTTATTCTTTTTTTATTCATTTTAATTTACTAATGCATTATTAAAATCAAAATTTATATTATTAAAAAAATCTAAAGTTAAAATGTTAATATTATTTAATGGACTAGAGCTAACATGAACTAACAAAGAACCATTTTAATTTTATTAACTAACATTAACACAGATTAATATATACTGTTACGGATTAACTGTATTGCTCATTGTTAGTTAATGCTATTTAATGTGTTAACTAGCATTAACTAATGGGACCTTATTGTAAAGTACTACCAATTAATGTTATACTTTCAATTCGGCCAGGCATCAGATTGATCAAAAGACTAATGGACTAGAGCTAACATGAACTAACAAAGAACCATTTTAATTTTATTAACTAACATTAACACAGATTAATATATACTGTTACGGATGAACTGTATTGCTCATTGTTAGTTAATGCTATTTAATGTGTTAACTAGCATTAACTAATGGGACCTTATTGTAAAGTACTACCATTTAATGTTATACTTTCAATTCGGCCAGGTATCAAATTGATCAAAAGACATTTATAATGTTACAAATGAAATGTTTGTTATGTTATTTAACAAATGCTCATCATCCTAATGCTTTAAATTTAGCAGTTTATCAGCACGTTTTTTTATTAACAAGCAGTGCATGAGCTCAGATCAATAAGGCTTATGATCAGTCAGTTTCAAAAAGCAATACAAAACCTGTGCTAACTGAAAGAAATCAAGTAGACAAAAAGATTGAATCCAAGATTTAGTAATAATATGGCATAACGTGAAATTTATAAGCAATTTTTAATGCAATAACAGCATTTTTCAGAAAAAGAACATCCTCTCCGGGTCAAAATGACTGGAACACAACATGAAGGTTAAAGAAACACAGAAACTGATATTGATCATAATTAAGATGAACTGTGAATGTTGATTGTGCAACATTCATTTGTGTACTGATGATGAATAACAGTGAATAGCTTGCCAAAAATACTAATATAGCTGGTTTACAAGGAGACAGGTGACACTTCCCATTATTATATATGTGCAGAACGAGAGTGATTAATACAGAAATAAATCATTAATCACACAAACAAAGTGTATCCTTTGCACTTCATTTTGTTAGGGCGCTAAAAAGTGTCCCGTCATTGTCGGGATGCAAAATCGAGAGAAAGAATTAAACTCATCCGGTGCGTTCACTTCATCCTGACCGTCATAATTACAATTTTAAAACTCGTAAATAGGAACTTTGCAGGAGCTTCATAAAAGCAGAAGAGAAATGCAGCGTTTAGATGGTAACTGTTTGCCGATTTACAAATGAAAAGCTCTACTGAAGCAAAGTAACAATGTGAGAAACTCACCCCATCTTTTTTATCTCTCTCTAGAGCTCCGTTGAGGAAATCCATCGCTACATCTTCATTTTCATCCAACCACTGGATAACAAACGGCTCGAACCACCTGCAGAGAGACAATACAACACAACACAGTCCTCAGATCCAACGCCACGGGCTGAGACTGAAGAAAAACTCTGGCACATGTTGTTCTGCTCTTTAGACACTGTATGCATCAGCTTCATGCTGTGGGACTTGTCACCCTATTTTATCATTCAGAGACAAATGATATGCCAAAGTTTCATGCTTAGCAGTTTTTTTAAAGCTTTTATTTGGTTCATCTTAGGTCAAACAGAAAGTAACAATAACGTAAATATAGTAATATACTATAAATAATAGATATACACATATCTACATATACAACCATACATTAATTCAGATGAAGAAAAAAAAGAAAAAAAAACCAGGCAATCATAGTTATACATTAAATAAAATAAATAAAGAAAGAGAAAAAAGGAAAGAAAAAGAATAAATAAATAAAATAAAATTAAGATACAGTTGTCTCCTTAAAATATTTCAGAAAATGGCTCAAGACTCTCAAAAATATGGAGCCAGATCAGCCTCAAAAATAACACATTTGCAAAACAAAATTCATAAATGCACAGCACAATTTACATTTACAAAATCCGATTCGTAAATTCAAAACACAATTCATAAATACATAAGTAAAAGCATAAATATTTCCCCACATGCTCACACAAATGCATCTTACCTAAATAAATGTAAAATGTTTACACAAATATGTATATATAAATTTCTTGAATTAATTTCCATCACACATTTATGAATGATGTTACATGTATTTATGGATCGTTGAATCTGCATTTGCAAATCGTCACATGTGCGTGGACTGCTTTGAATTTGTGTGAGGTATTTTTGAGAACTTCCTGGCAGGTTAAGATTCATAAATATCTTTTTTTAGAGGATGTTCCGTTCAGCCAATCGCGGTGAGCTTTTAATCCACCAATCAAAACACTCTTTACTGAACAGACTCAAGAAGCTCAACGCTGTGCATTATTCCATGATCGGGTCCTTGATGTAAAGACATTGACACATTTTAGTGGGCAGTGTTGGGCAAGTTACTCTGAAAATGTAATTAAATTACTGATTACTCCTTTTAAAAGTAATCATGTTACTGTTCTGATTACTTTATTTCAAAAGTAATTAGTAATTAGTTACATTACTAGTTACTGTATTCTCCAGTGCTCACGAATCCTCTCATTATAACACACGAATTGTAGACATTATGAACGATTAATTATGCTTATATTTATTGTGTTATAACAGAGATTTGTGAGATATTATAACTATGAACTGAGATGTCTTTTAGAGACTATAAATGCAGCGCTCTTTGCTGGCATTCTGTCATACTGTAACAATGGGCAGTTGTTCTATAGAACATGTGGCTAACTGGAACTAAGCTAGGCTACTAAACTGTTGCTAAGCTAATTGTTGACAGGATGCTAACATCTATACGTCGAGACTTTTAATTTGGTTATTGGAAAGTGCGAACACTCGCGTCCCATACACCGCACGACTCCGAGAGTCTCTGTGAACAGAAGCACAAACGGAACAAACCAACAGAAGGCAGTACCGTCATCTCTCTCCTTTTATTCCAGACACAGAATAAGAACATAAATTGTGCTGTGCATTTATGAATTTTGTTTTGCAAATGTGTTATTTTTGAGGCTGATCTGTCTCCATACAAAAATGCTTAGCGTTTTAAGGGTCTGAATGATCCAGGGTTTTTATCGGTATTATTCATTCATTCATTCATTCAATATACATACATTAATCACATGTGTATTGTATTGTATTGTATTTATTTAGTTATATAATTGTTTATTTATTTATGCTCAGATGCATATTGCCTGTTATAATTTAAACAGATGCATATTGAATGTATTAATTAATTTATTTATTCTTTCATTCAATATACAATAATCAGATGCATATTGCATTTATTTATTTACTTAATTTACATGTACATACTCCGATGCATATTGCCTGTTATACATAATTTAATAAGATGCATATTGAACTCATTCATTATTTTATTTATTTTATTTTATTATTTCCTTAGGTCAGTTAATTTTATATAATATCCCTTATATGTCATACCCTTGTCATTATACAAATGTATGTCCTCATTTGTCACAAAAACGCGCACACACACACACACACACACACACACACACACAGAGTAAACATATACAGAAGAGATTGTATAAGGATGTTCAAGACATTCAGCAACAGTACAGACATCCTCTGAAAACATTTCACTTGCATTAGACAAACAAGCATTCGCTCTGTCGAGTCACTGAACATCGTAACAGGCAAGCATAAATGAGACACACATATTTTTAAATCAAGTGAAGAGTTGTGGACGGCCGGTGGCATGCAGAATCACACTAATAGCTCTGCTAATGTAATGAACCTCAGCAGATCTGTACAGACTGCAGCAGCTCACTGTTATTGACAGTAATGAGGGGATTGATACGATGGCATTTAGCTCGCTATCGTACAGTTTTTTCAACTGCTTACACACATTTTCAAAACGTTGCCTGTTTTTTTCAAAACTTTACACACAAATCCAGGAATTGCACACACAAAATGCAAAATGCCTCACATCTCTTATAAATATCACAAACACATCTCAAAAGCAAACATTTGCAAACACCTTTGCCATAATATTAATTCCTGTTAGATTTTTGTGGTACATAGAGAATTGTGTGTTGCGTTTTGCAAAAAGTGCTTTATTTTGAAAAAAGGCTGAGTCAAAGGCTGAGAATAAAGTGTATGGTTTTGCAGATTTGGTGTGTGCTTCTGCTGTTTGAGTGTCAGCTTTCAGAAACTGTGTGACAAGTGAAGATTTAGTGTGTAAGCGGTTGAAAAAAACAG